TCTTGTTGCGAGATGGATGATAGGAAAAAAAGAAATTTGACTATCTATGTATGTTCTCATAGCTGATCAAGAAACGTGGAAACCCCAACAAGAGTCGCCCCCGAAAGGAAATATCTGCCCCAAGGAAGCCATTTGATGGAATGATGATATCTCTAGCTGGTCGTCTTACTCGAAAACATGTACGTCTACAGTACTTCAGATGAATTTGACTTCATTTTTGTGTATGTTTATGTTGCAATTAAACTTTATTGTGCGCAGCAATACTGGAAATCGAAAATCGAGAAATTTGGTGGAAAAGTGAACAACTCTGTCACTGGTAACTGTTCAGTGTAATTTTGTTATGAAATTTACTTCTCCAGTTGTGTAGGAACTAAAAGTGTTCGCTCTTGCAGGGGTTGCTTGCGTAGTAGTTTCTCCTGCTGAACGTGATCGTGGTGGCTCATCCAAAGTAGCTGAAGCTTTGTATGTATATTTGATTGACACTACATTAATTGGATTAATAAAAAATGGCATTCTATATTCTAACGCCGAGCAGAGGTGGATACAGGATTTAAACTTCGATGACTTCTACTTATCAATTTTTATGCTTTTACGGTTGAAATCATCGTGCTTTTGCGATTACGGGTTCAATTGAACACGTGAGTTTATGTTGCATCCGCCTCTGATGTGAGATATTGTTGTTTCTCAGGGAGAAGGGTATACCGGTAGTGAGGGAGGCTTGGTTGAGTGATAGTATAGAAATGGAAGAAGCTCAGCCTTTAGATGCATACGACGTCGCCAGTGACATTGCTGTAGAAGGTAAAGGTATTCCCCTTGATAAGATGGATCCAAGTGCCGAGGCACTCGAAACCGTAACAGCCGAGGTATACTTCCCCCCTTTCTCATTTGCTACTTAAATCTTGGTGTTTGCGTCAATATCGTCTTTTGTTTATTGTAGCTTAAAGTGTTTGGAAAAAGAGGGGTACACAGAGACACTAAGATGCAGGACGAAGGCGCAAGAATATTGGAGAAAGATGGCTTATTGTATAATTGTGCACTGTCTGTTTGCAACCAAAAGAACAAACTCAACGAGTAATGCTCGAAAGTCTCCGTAGTTTTTTCGAGTTCTTAGTATTTCTTCAGCTGCTGATGAAGTGATTCTTCAAATTGATGCAGCTTCTGTATTATGCAACTTATCATGTCATCGGAGAATCGTTTGCATATGTATTATAGAAGGGGCAGAAATGGTGATAGCTTAAGAGCACATGACAAGTTAGAGGAGTGGGAAAATGTCGATGATGCGATTAAGGAGTTCGCTAGGCTCTTTGAAGAGATGACTGGAAATGAGTTCGAACCCTGGGAAAGGGAAAAGAAGATTCACAAAAAGCATCACAAGTTTTACCCTATTGATATCGTACGTCAGAACTTAAATTATTTGTTCTTCGAGGTACACTTACATAGCATTTGCTAGACAACTAAAACATGGTTTAACTTTGTAGGATGACGGAGTGGAGGTTAGGCATGGAGCGCTTGGCCTAAGGCAGCTTGGTTCTGCTGCTGCACATAGTAAGCTTGATTCGGTAGTAGCAAATTTCATGAAAGTCCTTTGTAGCCAGGAGATATACAGGTATTAAGCCGTTCAGGTTGCAAGCTGTTTCCGTCTTTTCCTTACGTGTGAAATGAACTTAAAAAAAGTGTTGTATGCTGGATGAAGGTATGCTTTAATGGAGCTGGGACACGATTCACCGGAAATTCCTATAGGGATGCTTACTAATCTTCATTTGAGAAGATGTAAGTCTTCTCTCTGCCTATAGTGCATTTCGTATCGGTGATAAACATTCAAAAGATTCGTTTACTTTTAACTCTACAGGTGAAGAAATTCTCCAACACTTCGTGGAGAAAATAAAATCAATGAAGGAAACAGGACCGAAAGCAGAGGGTGTCTGGTATGAGTTCAGTCAAATGTGGTTCACACTCATGCCATCTACGAGGCCTTTTACTTTCAGGGATTATGCCGATCTCACAGAGCATGTAAATGTCATCTTCTCTAAATCTTTCGCATTATATACTAAGGTGTTTTAACTTACTGTTTGAAAATAATCAAGGCTGCATCTGCCTATGAAACTATTCGGGACATCAACTTTGCCTCGCGTATTATAGAAGACATGTCTGGATCTACGCTTGACGATCCTCTCTTTGAGTGTTACAAGAAACTCCTCTGTTCCATTTCTCCCTTGGAGAAAAAATCTGATGACTACAAAATGATAGTGAACTACTTGGAGAAAACTTACGAGCCGGTCCAAGTTGGAGATATGGTAAAGATCTATTTATGTTCATTTCCAATCCTCTTTCAAAATTGTGAACCGTCGGTGTGATCTAAAATGCATGTTTCACCAGAGCTATGGTGTATCGGTTGAGAATATATTTGCCGTTGAAGTTAGTGCTTGTCCTTCCCTTGATGAGATCAAGGAATTACCTAACAAAGTTCTTCTCTGGTGTGGTAAGTAATATCTCATTGGCATATAATTCTCGGTTGATCGTTGTATCGCGACGGTGAATGTTATTGTCAATCACATTATATTGACGTCAGGTACGAGGAGTTCAAATCTTTTGAGGCACTTGCAGAAAGGTTTCTTGCCTTCAGTTTGTTCACTTCCCGTATCGGGATACATGGTACGGAAATTCATTTACTACGAACTATTTTTTAGTTTACATTTGTACTCGCTGCTAATATACATGTTCAGTTTGGAAGAGCCATCGTTTGCTCGGATGCAGCAGCAGAAGCAGCTAGATATGGTTTCACAGCTGTAGACAGGCCAGAAGGTTTCTTAGTATTAGCAGTTGCTTCACTCGGAGAAGAAATTAAGGAGTTTCCGAGTCCTCCCGAGGTAGATCCTTTGGAAGAATGCATATACACACTCAAATGTTAGTTTGTAGTTGATCTGATGGTCTGATTTACCATGCAGGATACGCGAGCGTTGGAAGAGAAGAAAGTTGGAGTAAAAGGACTTGGAAGGAAGAAAACCAACGAGAAAGAACATTTTGTCTGGAAGGATGATATTAAGGTACCGTGCGGTAAGCTGATTCCATCGGAGCATAAGGACAGCGTCCTCGAGTACAATGAATATGCCGTCTATGATCCACAACAGGTACTTCATATAAAAACTTTAGTACAAACATTTATATACAACGACATTGTAGAAAATTGTCAACGAAAATTGTCAACGATGTGTGTTATATTATTAGTAGTTGGATCTGTTTTCCCTTTTTATGGCGGTGCGTATAAGGTGAATCCAAATCAGGAAGACTATCCCTTTGTTGACATTTTTCGGTTTTTTTTATTTTTTATCAAGGTGAGTATAAGGTACTTGGTGGCCGTAAAATTCGACGAGCAGGATGCAGTATACGATACAGCTGAACCCGGGCAATAGTGGAAAATGGACTAGACAATGGCTGTACATGCTATATTTTGTTTGCGATCTTCTCGTGTGGACTTAAAAAGTAGTTTTCGCTAGTGTAAAGAAGGCAATGGCCTTGTTTTGTTGACGTTCATATGAATGTAAATATGTTCCCTTTTCATCTGTAAATTCATGCTGCAGCAACTACGATCTCTGTCGTTCGTCGTTCGAAGTAAACGAATACATGTTCTTTCTTTGCTCCGAAACATTTCTTGCATTTTGTGGCCCTTTTGACATGTTATTATATAGTGGTTGCTCCTATTTCAGGAACTTATCAACATGTACAGTTGGATATGAACTTATTTACTAATATGGTCCAAATATATTTCTATATTGATTATGTATTATGTATATTGTATGTGTAGGTATGTATATTATTACATTTAAATATATAAAGTTGATGTATTTGCTGGCAATTTTAAAAAAAAAATAGACTAACCAAAGGTATGGACACTGGAATTATCCTTTTATGTGGATTACTTTATTTATAATGTAGATACTAAGATGTAATATTTTTACCTTTTAACAAAGAAAAAAGTTGCATGAAGTTTATGTTTGCCATTTAGTAGTTTTTTGTCCATGTAAATATTATTTCATGTTCTCATATTTATAGTTAGTCATACCTTTTATAAAATGGAAGATTATGCGGATAAGTAATTAAATTAATTATCATTCACCACTAATTTTTAGTTATTATTATGCGGTCAAGTTTGAGTTGTATAAACGTGTAGTTGGAATTTGTATAACATAATTTGTATAGTTTTTATATAATGTAATTAGTATTATATAGTTTGTATTACTGTTCAAAATTTAGATGTTTGTGTCTGTATAAATTTATTATTTTCGAGTTTTATCAATATTTATATAATTCTGAAATTTGTATTACTCAAAACAAAATTTCAATTTTAGATCTACAGTTGTATTCATATTTGTATATAGTTATTCTAATTGTATAATTATATATTTTATTTATACAAAATAGATAAGTATGAAAGTCTATCAACATGATTATATTTATACAAAATATGTAAGTGGCAAATCAGTAAACTTCGTTTATACTTTATACAACCACAGAAACAACTCATTTACATAAACACTTATTTCACCAAAATCATAATTATCAATTGATTAAATCAAATTTATACAAAAATGAATACAAATCAATAGATACTAACCAATTTATACAAATATGAACTAAAATAGCTCGATTATACAAATACACATGAATTATACAAATGAGGTGGCCCATATCAATTAAAACTATAGTTACAGTTCGTAAATATACCAATTATAATTAAGAAGCTTAATTAAATTTATCATAGTGATTATTTACGAAATTTAAAATAGATAAACTAATAAAAATAGCATAATCTAGAGATATTAATCAATCTAGATATTTATATTTTTTATATTAGTAAATAAATAGAACAAAATAATTGTTACAAAAAAGAAGAAGAAACAGTCGATCTAGAAATCAGAAGAAAAAGGAAGGGTAGAAATGTAAACTCACATAATATTCCGGGTCGAATCAAACAACCCACAATCACCTCCACTTAACCCTACCAAAACCCTAACGGTATAAATTGCCGCATTATTCACCATTACGAAACCCTAGTAGCAGTCCCAAATCTACCATTGAAGAAGTTTCTCGTAGCTTCCAATTCTCCTCAGTAATTGCTCTCTCTTGATTCATACTTTTAGCCGTTTCGTATTGTGTTTTCAATTTATGTATCTAATATTTCTCTTGTGTTTTCTGTTAGAGAAGAAGAAGAAGAAGAAATGAAGGTTATTGCTGCTTATTTGTTGGCTGTTTTGGGTGGTAACGCATCACCTTCAGCAAAAGACTTGAAGAATATCCTCGGTTGTGGTAAAAAATTTAACCCCTTTTTGTTTTTTTTTTCGTTTAAATTTAAGTGATGTTTTGATAAAATGGTGTAATCAGGGTGTTAATTGAATATCAAAATGGAGAGATAGATATATGTACTATTTGAAGACATGTTAAATTATTGTGTATTACAATGAAATGGGTATGAATGGAGCAGAATGTATATTGATGATCTATATACCGAAAACGCTAATAGTTTGGTTTCTCAGTCTTTGTTGTGTGTTTGAGGCAGCAATCTTGTAAAGGCCATTGTGTGATTCATGGGTAAGGGGATTTGGGGCATGGGGTTTAGCATATAAATTTTTTCTTAAACGAATAATGTTCATATGCATACTGTTAGCCACCAGGTCTTTGAAAAATATGAGTCTATGCTGTTTGTTTTACCCATTAGTTTGCCTAGAATCATCTAACACAGGCAATAGAGTAATATATTGGTATACAAATTGAAGCTTTGTTATGTGCGGAGAGTACCAGAAGCTACTTAAGGTGGACTGGGATTGAATTGGAATTTAAGATTAAGTATGCCTTCCATCCAAAAAGAAAGAGGGAGGGGTTTTAGATGTATGAATCCTGACATTGATTTTGTTGTCTTGTTGAAATAACATTTGCCTTGTTAAGAATTACAGAAAAAATATTTAAAATAATGCTGTAGTATTAAATGGTTCAATTTTTCAAATAATAAGTCTTTACTTTTGGGGTGCGGCTGGTGCTATGAAATTTGATGTAGTTGAACATTTACTCTATACTTTCCATGCTGTTAATGAATGAGGTAGACTTCAAGTGTGTTGCTAGTCCCTGTATTCCTTTTTTAAGTTTGGTAGAAGTGAGCATGGTGTTATTGTTTTCCATTAACCTGCAATGGTGAGATTATAGTGTTATGGTGTATCTCTCATATGTATACATGGGGTAGGAATAGCATTCAGTCTTAGTTTCATGTACAAGGTAATGCACAATCATTGTTTCACAGTCGTTAATTCTTGGAGAAGTCTTGAACTGATAATCTGTAATTCATCTGCTTCTATCAGTAACACTATTATACCCGTGCACATGCTAAATGTGGCTGGTTGTTTGTTGCACACTCACATTTGTGGTTGATGTGGTCTGCAGTTGGTGCTGAGGCTGATGATGACAGAATTCAACTGCTCTTATCTCAAGTTGATGGCAAAGATATCACAGAGCTGATTGCTGCTGGCAGAGAAAAGTTGGCTTCAGTACCTTCTGGTGGTGGTGCTGTTGCAGTTGCTGCCCCTGCCGGTGGAGCTGCTGCAGCCCCTGCTGAGGAGAAGAAGGAAGAAAAGAAGGAGGAGAAAGAGGCATCAGAAGATGAGGATATGGGCTTCAGTCTATTTGATTAGAAGAAAACAATCTTGTTCTCTACGCATCCCTTGAGCTTACTTTAGGAAGTTTTTTTTGGTCTAGTAATGGATTTTGCTATTAGTCATCTAGTTGACAAACCTTGATTTTACATTTGGAACTTTTTTGAGGCCGATGCTAGAAATTAAATGACTTTGATTTTAATCCCTCTTCTTGTTTGATGTGTCATTCAAAATTTAGTACTCCCTATGTCCCATTTTATATGACTTACTTTCCTCTAAAAAAGAATGACACATTTTCATATTAAGTAACAATTTAACTATGAAGTGTTTATTTTACTCTTAATGAAATGATTTACAGCCACACAAATTTCTATCATTTATTTTGGATCACAAGTTTTGAAAGTCGTCATTTTTTTTTTAAACTTCGTGCCGAGTCAAACTACTTCATATAAAATGGGACGGAGGGAGTATTAGTGATCGTTGGTGTGCTAGTGATCTCTCGGCAATCTATCTAGTCTTGGTGTTTATTTCCATTATAAGGGCAGTGAGTTGGTTTATACGACTGCAAATGCAATAGGTTTGGACGAATGAGTTGAATAGTTGAATCTGTAGTTAAAACGAACATATGCATTAAAGAAACGCTAAATCAAGCTATCGAGTTCTACACCTCCTATAATCATATCCCAGGCAATGAAAGATAAAGGATAATTCATCGGGTTGATTATATACTCGTCGAGTAGTTTAACAAATCAAGTCTTATAAATTAATGGTTCAAATATGAAATACATTATCAATTAAAGAATACCGATGATCAATTCAAGGAGATTTATATAGTAAATAAATTTTCGTTGTTCGATAAAATTAAATTTATATAATTAGGAGGATATTTATATATATGTAATTTTAATTAATAAAATCGACCTCAAGAGGTCAGTTTTCAAATATAAATACTTCTCTATCCCAATTATGTGACACTTTTCGTTTTTCGAGAGTCAAACAATTTAAGTATAACCGGGAGTTTGCGCATGAAATTTTCAAATTTCTTGAAATGAAATTTATATATATTTGTAAACTACGTACTATAATTCACAATAATTAATAATTCAAAATATTTAAAGAATCTATGAAAAACTTACGATCAAATATAGATTCGTTTGAATCTTGAAATCCGAAAACCCTAAGTCACCTCTCTCTCACGCCACCCATCCCCGTCCCCACGCCGCCTCAGTAGCAGCAGCAGGTAGCGCCGGCGCCGCCTCAGCAACAGCAGCAGGTCGCGCGCCGCACCAGCAGACATCCGCAACTGCAGCAGACGGCGGCAGCAGCCAGATTTATTTTCACCAAACATAAGAGGTAAATTATCCAAATCTATATCATCAGCTTCAAAATCATCACTAGAATTTGGTTTAAAATGTTCATTATCCCTAAAGTTATCATCTTTAACTTGAAATTCAACAAAAGATTCCTTTGAAACCGAATAATTGAAGCGGCAAACTTTGTAACTCGAAATTGGTCGTTGAACAAAGTTTCCTATTTTTATTTTATTTGGTAAAATTTTCTTATTGGTTGACTCAACATGAAATTTCTGCCCAATATCATGTTTGAAAAAATAGTTTAATATTTTATGCAAGCCAACAAAATTTATGTAAAGTATATTTGATAAATTGAACTTAACATAAACAAAATATTGATATTTTTTTAGTGAAGAGATCATTTTCTTTGACGTTTAAGTGAATTAGGATTACCAACTTTAGCAAGTATAACCCCACAAAGATTTAAAAATAGAAAAATACTATATTAAAAGTTCACCACACTTTTAGGGAAGCAAACCGGGTGGCAGATGCACTAGCAAGGTATACCTTTTTGTGCTTGGAAGTTCCGCCGATATTTGTTTTGGAAAAGTTGAATGCAAACAAACGAGGAACTCTTTTAGTTAGGCCACTAAGACCATTTCCACTAATTGTAATAGCTATGAACCCATTGTATCCCCATACTGCTACAAGCAGGCGTACAACTCTGCCTCTCCCATGTACTTATGCATATTAATCATTAATATAAGTATCTTTTGTAACCAAAAAAATAAAAAAATAGATTGTTTACAAAAAGATTATCTGCTCAAATAAAACTATTGAAACACTAATATAAGGGGTGGCAAAATAAACCCAACTTGTTCAACCCATTTAAGTAACCCATTCATTCATTAGTTCAACCCATTAAACATTAGGTTGATATGTAACCCAAATTGACTCATGAAAAATTCTGTCAATTTTTTTTTTTTTTCAATTTGTAATATTGTATAGAGCCATAATAAAATAGTTTAAAAGAAGAAATAAAATAATTAAGTTTAGTAAAAATTGAGTTGGGTTAGGTCTTGACCCCAGGGGCGGCTCTGCCTTATAAAAATTAAGGCATATGCCTTAGGCCCCCAATTTTGGAAGGCCTCAAATTTTTATGTAGAACAAATTATGTGTTATTTTTTATTAAAAAAATTAATTATTTATAATAAAAAGTGTATATATATATATATATATATATATATATTATTTTATTCTTCTCAACTCCATTCAAATAGAAGAAATCGAGAAAACGTTATTTTGTCTTATTATATTTCTTTGCAAACAATCACATTATTTATTTTTTAAAACTCTTTTTTGCTTAAAGTTTGTCAACTTATTACTTATAGAATTGTGTTAACAATTCATATAATAATTGCTTCAATAAAATGATATTTTTCAATGTTGAATTGATAAATTCTTACCTAAAATTAATAATTTTAAATTAAAAAAAAGTACTCGAAAAAATCATCTATAAAAAAAAATTAAGTAATAATTTGCATCTAAATAGTTAGAAAACTAAATTTTAAATAAATATGTATGAAATTTGTTAGGCCTCAATTGAAATTTCGCTTTAGGCCCCCAATTACGTTGAGCCGCCCCTGCTTGACCCATAATGTAACTCATTACCTAATCCATTTTGACCAAAGCAGATTTGGACTGGATTGAGTTTGATCCAATTATTATCTTACCTCATTATGACTCGTTCTAATTTAACTCAATCCGCTCAATTGCTACCACTAACTAATATGAACTGTGACTCTAGCTTTCCTTTAACTATCACAACAAAATAATCTAAAATTCCCAATTAATTTGGACTTTGGAGTTGGTACCTCTAAAAGAGGTACAACGAATAAAATAATAAAAATCCGCAGTATCCATATAAATAAGTATAACCCACTAAAAATGAATATTTGATGAGTAAAATATGGTTTAACTTGTACATTTTGAGAGGAAATTAGCAGAACCCCAAATCCCTTTCAAACCCCTCAAAAACCTCTCGTCATTTTCCGTCATCAAAGCAACGCCGGCAACTTCTCCGGTGAGTTCACTCTCTCTTCTCCTCTTCCATGCCGTAACTCCTCTTTGATTTTCTCTCTCTAGAAAAAATGCTCACTGTTTTTTTGAAAAAGAGAGGCTATTTTTGGATTTTGAGATGTAGGTTCTCTTTTTTCATTATGTTTAACAACAACAACAACATTTTCAGTGTTATCCCAGAAGTAGAGTCTGGTAAAGATAGAATGTAGGCGGACTTAGAGAAACTTAGAGAGAGTTGTCGATAGAGTGTTGGCTCAAGCAAAAACATATAAAAGTAGACCGAGAAAAGAAATAATGGAAGTGAAGCAAAATAATATAGATATCATGATAAATCATTCTAGTTCATTATGTTTGTTATAACAATATCTATTTAGTGGTTTAGATTATCAGTTGAATTAGATACAACTATAAATAGGAGTAGATTGTATTGCTTTATATTGGAGAAAAAGGCCAAAACCATCCTCTAAATTTGGGCTTTAGCTCAAGGTAGTCATTGTTCTTTGAGGTGGAGGGTTAATAGTCCTTATCTTTCCTAAATTGATGCCTATTTAGTATTTGATAACTGATTCTGCCTGTAACTAATGGAATACTTCATGTTGTATAGAAAAAGAAATACTTTAGGTATCTTTTACCTAAGTTGCGCGGACTCTTAACTTTCGATGCCGCACCCGTGTTGGATTCTCCAAAAATACACTACTTTTGGCGAATCCGACACGCACCCCTTGACATTATTGAAGAGTCCGAGCAACATAATCTTTTACAACCCCCCCCCCCCCCCCCACAAACCCACTCCAAGACTTGTCATTTGAGGAGGAGCTTATAGCCATCTTGGATAGGCAAGTTTGGAATGTAAGGAAAAAGGGGATTGCTTCTGTGAAGGTACAGTGGAAGCACCATTCAGTTGGAGAGGCAACTTGGAGGATGGACACTGACATGCGTGCTAATACCCTCAACTTTTCTAAGTGCCAGGTACATTCTTTTACATTATGTTCGAGGACAACCATAGTCTTTAGTGTTGGATAATGTAATTACCCTGCTGGTCATTTTTGGAAATTTTCAAATAATTATCACTTTACCCCCCCCCCCCCCCCCCCAAAAGAAGCTACTCCCATCATATGTTTCTTCTCCCCAAATCGAGCAGTTTTAGATACCCTTTTAGTGAAAGTCTAGCTCAAAGGAATTCTTTATAAACGGGGTTTGATACTCGAGAGGAAGAGTAGAAGATTGGCTAAGAAACTAGCTTCAAGTTTAATGGAGAAAAATCGTAATTGGCGTAGTTGGTATCACCTTCATTGTCATAGTCTTGTCTCCTAAAATCGTGTAGCGGTGAATACATAAATTTGTTTTGCTTGTTCTTTTTTATTTTCAAACTTAATGTTTGTTCTTTGCCACTTCTGCAAGAAAACTGAAATGCAGAAAAAAATGAAAAAGGGATACCTCTATAAGCATTGCTATGTGCTGCTAGGACACAGAGATAATCCTATTAGCATTGAAATGTATAAGAAATATAGTTGTTACTCTAGTGCTTAAAGGCAAGTTAGAGTTGCAGTCAATTTTATGTGAAACAATATGATATAATTCCATTCCTAGAGGAAATCACCATTGCCAGAGGCATAAATCTGTCATAGCAACTCCCATTGTGTTTCATTCTTGCCCTAAGTTTGTGTTCTAACTTTGGATCAATCCAGAACACAGATCCCATGATTGTTCTATCTCCTACACTATACTAAAGATCAACTCATACTGTTTAAGAATCAAACAACAACAACTGAGGACTATGAGAAGGAAAGCAATAAAATAAATGAGGGACGAGGAGAAATCTTTCAGTTGGATACTTGTCAAATCTACTTGCAAGAGCTGATACACTTTATGTACATGAAGTCGATGACGCATTTATCAGCAATACCTTTACAAAAGGTACAAATAAAGTTTTAGGGAAGAGGTTAGTGACATGAGAGAGACATATAAAACTGAGACTTTTCCCTTGAATGATTGTGAGACAGACAAAAGGGTATTTTGTTGGCCTGTAAAGTGTGAACCTGTTACCGTGTCTCTTCTGCAGAGAGAAGCCAGGAAACACGAACAACCAAATGGCGGAGTCATCCACCATCAACAAAGGAAGTACGGTGGAGGAATGCCAAGACATGATCCGGAGAGGTCTTAGAAGTAAGTTCTTCACATCTCTCTATCTCTTTCTCTGATAGTTTTCTTGATTCACATTCAGTGGTTAATTCCCATTCAATTTTAACTCTTAGTTTTTGGTTTTATTCTTACTTTACTACTTTTATTTAGCTCAAAAGATAAATTGCGACAACTTATGGGATGGCACATATAAATACCTGCAAGCTAATCCAGACACCATTGTATAAAAGCAAAAGCTTTATAAGATAAATTCACATGCTATTGAAATAAATGGACTTGAATAGAATGGATTCACTTAATTCATATAGCTGATACAAACTAGTTTAAGATTGCAGCGTAATTGAATGATGTTGACTGTAAGCATTTTTATTGCAGCTCCAATGGTGAAGTTCTTAAAGGAGCATTTGGAGAAATCTGGTTGTCGAATTGGTGATAACTTCATAAAAGCTATCCATTGCGACCAGAAGATCAGCGGCGGCTATGCTCGTGGACGTGGGGTAATCAACATAATTTATTATTCCTGGACTTTTCTATTAGAAGTTGAGGTGGTCAATTTTAAGTTTATGCCTATTGTGGATTTGAAGAACATTTCTTCTTGTGTTCTAAATACAGTTGTGTTAATTTTTCTGTCTTGGAGTTGCCAAATTCAATTGAAACATTGTGGGTCAGTGGAGGACAGACACCTTTTGAAGTAGATAGGGTGTCAAAGGTGAATTCAGGATTGAAGTTACACCTCTACACTAACTTCTCCTGTGTGATGATGGATGTGGACTTTGTATTAATATTTATTTAAAATATGCAGACTCTATATGTGTGTGTGGTTATCTTTGTTTTCCTTATTGTGTTGGTTTCTTACATCCTCAAGTATTTATTGATCTTGTTTCTTTTTGGCTATTAAGATAATTGTGTGCAGTAACCACATGCAAATTCAAGATGAGGTGAATCAAGTTCTCATACATGAGTTAATTCATGCATATGATGAGTGTCGTGCTGCAAACTTGGACTGGGCTAATTGCGCTCATCATGCTTGTAGTGAAGTTCGTGCTCTCAAGTGTCGCTTTTATACTAATTCTTGTACTTTTTGAGTTGTCTTCGATTATTGAACTTGAATTCTTTGTAACTGCTTTTACAGATCAGAGCTGGCCATCTTAGCGGTGATTGCCATTACAAACGGGAATTACTGAGAGGTTATCTTAAGATACGGGGCCATGAACAAGTGAGTTTTGTTGATCATTCGTGTTTGCTCCTATAATTATCTGTGTAGAGTTGTATTTTGCTCCACCTCAGTTATGGAGCTGCATCTGCGAGCTCATTGGAAACACCCCTGCCCCCAGCTGAACTGTTTAGTGTGCTGAAGCGAACATGTAGCAGCTTTGAACTTGTGTCCTTCACTTTGTGGAATAAGCTTGATAAGAAGTAGTTTCATCTTTCTTTTTGACATGTCAGATTTATGCTGTGGTGACATGCCACATAGTAAATAAATAATTAGTGGAACATTGACTCTGCAAGAAACATAATTTGTATGTAATAATATGTCAAAATCTTTTCTTTGGAATATCGTTTCTTTCAAGCTTTCAAGCTGCCTGGTATATGGACCAATTCTTCAATTAGCTATGGGATGATCTTGTCTAGTATGCTAGCTGCTAGCCTGTTGCATTATAATGCTGACTTTGTCTGGTGGCTTATGTGTTCTCAAACGTGATCCTGGTATTACTTGTACAGTTGTACCTAATTCTTTCTCAAAGGGTTATTCAGGAGGGGGGGGGGGGGGATTTGG